TACTTTTTATCCAATCCCAGGGGTTCCCCCGCAATGGATTTCATGTAACCCACCTACATCCCTCCTTTGATTGCAATGTGTAAATACAGACGTAACCTGCCATTCTCTGGAGCATTATCTCAATTCATTGAGGTTCTGCTTCCCAGCATATGTTGACAGTTTGGCTCAAATAAACTCACAAAAATTCTTTACAGGTTTCAATGGTTTTTTTCATTAATAGTATGATGTTAGCTGTGGGTTTTTTATATATGGCCTTTACTATATTGATATAGTTTCATTCTCCTGCTTTTTAGCTATGCCTCTTTGTATTATTTTTAGTGGTTGCTCTTGGCATTAACATATGCATCCTTATTATAATCTACTTAAAATTAATATCTGATCACTTTACGTTTTATTCTTTATATCTCACTTTCCCCACTTTGTAAATGAAAAAAAATGTCACAACAGTTTGATTACCTTTAAATATCCTACCCCTATATTTTAATATATTTTATTGATTTTTTACAGAGAGGAAGGAAGAGGGATAGAGAGTTAGAAACATCGATGAGAGAGAAACATCGATCAGCTGCCTCCTGCACACCTCCCACTGGGGATATGCCCACAACCAAGGTACATGCCCTTGACCGGAATCGAACCTGGGACCCCCCAGTCCGCAGGCTGACGCTCTATCCACTGAGCCAAACTGGTCAGGGATACACCTGTATTTTAAGCTACTGTTTTTTGTCTTCTAATTCTTCGTAAGTTATAAATCATAAGTCCCATCATAGTGTTATTATTTTGACTTTAAACTGTTATTTTTTTGTTTAAAAGCAATTTTTAAATATATAGTTTTTACTGATTTCAGAGAGGAAGGGAGAGGGAGAGGGAGAGAGAGATAGAAACGTCAATGATGAGAGAGAATCATTGATCATCTGCCTCCTGCACACCCCCTACTGGGGATCGAGCCTATGTGCCCTTGACCAGAATCGAACCTGGGACCCTGCAGTCTGTAGGCCGATGCTCTATCCACTGAGCCAAACTGGCTAGGGCTAAACTGTTATTTTTAAAGGACATTAAAGAAAGAAAAATATATAGTCTTTTATATTTATCCACATATTTACCATTTCTGATAACTTTTTTGTCTTCCTGTAGGTCTTAATTTTTTTTATCTTGTATTATTTCCCTTAAACCTGAAGAACATTCTTTCCTATTTCTTATAGTACAAGTGTGTTGGTGACTAATTCTCTCAGCTTTCATTTTTCTGAAAATGTCTTTGTTTCATCTTAATTTTAGAAGAATATGTTCATGGGTCTAGAACATATTCTGTAGGGTTTCAGTCCTTTAAAATGTATTAAGATTCTAGTTCCTACGCCTGACCAGAGAGAGGGCCGATGGGACACTTGCCCTGGTCTGGGATTGGGGCAAGGACTTTGAGGAGCTAAGACTGTTGATTTCTAGGAAACGAGCGTGTTGACATGAGCCAAGAAGGGCCAACACGGGTGGGCAAACAGATGGAGTAACAGGGCCAGTGAAGGTTGATGTTGGCCAGCATGGCTGACTTGGATCACAGCTTCTGAACCTCATCGATTCTATAGCTGGAAAGCACCTTGAACCTTCCTTCTGTCACGTTTCAGAGGTGAAAACCGAAGTGTGGGAAGGTCACCTTCCCAGAATCACACAGTTGTCCAGTGCTAGAATCCCAGGCCCTGGAACCCATCTTTTCTCTCCTAGGACCCGTCCCTCCCCTCTCAGTGCCTCTCCGGGGAGGCCAGGCACCACAGTGCTGACGGATCTGCACAGCACATTCCCGGGAGCTCATGCGTGTCCCGGGGCAAAGGTGGTCCCACGTTCTAAGGAAAGTTCTCCTTCTTCTGCACTATCTACGTGAAACCCCCACGGGCAATGACCTTAGAGCATTGCCAACCCTTGGAAAACAAGTGGCAAGAAGCACCCTTACATGTTCGGTGCTGATAATCCTTCCCAGCTGAGGGCATCCCATAACGGACAAACAAGGCCTTGGGCCACAAGGCTCTGGGCACCTAATATTAACCACATTTTCTTTCTTTTTTTTTTTTTTTTTTTTTTTAACCACATTTTCTGACCAAGTGCCTTCGCTTATTGTTGCTGAGCTTTCACTTCCAACCTCTTCTGGGTCACAATGTACACGACCAGGAGTCTGATTGGAATCCCATCTCAAACGTTTCTTTCTTCACATGTTGGCATGTATGATAAAGATGTTTCTGTACAATCATTTTGACCCAAAACCTTAGAGAAACTACCTAAACATGATCATAAAATGATACGATCATCATAAAACAATACAGGGCACATCAGCAATGCCGCCACCCAGACATGTCATAGCGTGATGGGTGGGGCCTTAGGGACCTTGGGGCCTGTGGACTCTAAGGAGAGCGAGTCAGTGAAGGGCTGGCCTCCTCACAGCTGGATCAGGCGCTCAGGGGGCTGTATTTTGGGTTGCCCAACCCCTCCCCCCCCAGCAGCAGAGGAAAGTGGGTGCCCCTTTTATAGTCATCTTTAGGATTTAGAATCCTTCACCTCTCCCCAAGTGAGCCCCAAGGTCATCCCCAAGGCAGACTATGCGGCCTTGAGCTGTTATCTTCACAGTCCGGAAGCTTCGGAACCAGACCCCCCCCCCCCCCCCCCCCCTCCCCAGGAACTTAAAGTGGGTTAAAAACTGGCTGGCCTGTTCTTTAGAACGGCAATAAGTTACTTGTTACAGTGGCTCTGAAACAACAGCTGAATATGAAACAGGCACCGGCTGTGGGACATCTAGGAACTTGACTGGCAGAGAAGTCAAGCTGAGAGGATGAATGTCCTCTCTGGGATTCTGACACCTTGGAAACTGGGACAAGAATATCTTTTCCCTTCTTTCTCTTTACGACAATGCTATCACAGAGAGTGGACGGGGCAGGAAATGATGGCCCCTTCTCTTCAAAGGGAAGCTTTTGCTTCCATGACCACACAGCATCTATACAAATGATTTGAAAATATAGAAACAGAGTGTCGGATGATGGAATCTCCTTAGCACTAAACTGCAGTTTAAAAAACCACCTTTGTGCCAACCAAGTCTCACCCTCCCTTCCCCAAAGACGTGAGTTTAACCAAAAAAAGGGCAGACCATGCAACTTTTCTACATTTTTAATGCAGTGACTTTCTGATGTTAAAATGGAGCAGCATTAAAGTAATGACCAAAAAAGCAGCTCTTGCAGGCTAATGTCTTAAAATCCACACCCTTTCACCTTGCATGTGTGGAAGAAGAAAGAGCAGAAGGTAAAATCACTTCCACCTGGACCACTGCTTTTCTTTATCTGTTAAAGGCACGTATATCACTCCCATCAGAGGTTTCATTTTGACACTGCCATCTTGCAGCTTGTCGTACTGCTCCAGCATCTGATTTCCACCCGCAGGACCGACTGGCAATATCAATCTTCCACCAGGCTTTAACTGGTCTATTAGCTAAAAGAAACAAAAAGAAAAAACACATACATACAGATTTTTTTCATCTTTATGAACAGCCTTCAGTGTCCATGGGCAGAAAGTATAAACGTACTTTATTTGGTACACATATATTTTGATTGTCAAACTTATCACTCAATTCTCACTCATCACCTCTCTCCTGAAAACGATGCCCAGCGTCCTAGATCCTCTGGCTTCCTCGTTTTGGTTTCTGCTACTATCTCTCTCCTTCCTCACTTTTTTTCTGATGTAATTAAAGCAACTCCTCCAGAAGTATTCAGTGAAATAGTGCATGGAATATTTAAGAGAGAGTGGTTAGATTCCGCCTCTCTGTGGGCGCCTGTATTTCTGGAACATTCACCCAAAATAATAAGGTTGCACCGTCTCCCCTGGCATTAATTCCGGGTTGTTTGTGGATCCAGCTTCTCCCAAGGCGTCAGCCTCCTGGTTTTCCAGTAAAGGGTGAGCATGGATGCTTTTAAAAAATGGATGCTGTACCAGGAGGCCTTGTTCCTTCAGATGACCGACCAGCTTAGAGCTCCAGAAACAGCACCAAGGGTCCGAACCAAAAGAGACTTCTCTCGGCCGTTGCACTGAACTGCAATGCCATGCCCACCCGTGGAGCCCCGCTGGATGTAGTGCTGGGACCATGTCTGTGAGGCTGGGACTGGTAAGCTCCCTTCATGTAGAAGTGACCCGGCTGGTGTGTAGCAAGGTAAAAGCCCTGAATGCCACCTCCAGGGCTATACACGGGATACATCAGGAGCTGAGCCAGGTGAGGGAGGCAGTCCTAGAGAATCGGGCAGCAGTGGATTGTTTGCTGTTGGGGGCATAACCAGGGCTGGGAGGAATTTAAAGGAATGTGCTGCTTTAATCTTCCTGACATCCTCCGTTGATAGAAAACATATCCAGGACCCTGCATGAGCTGTATTCCATCCCTGGGAGCTGCTTTCAAGGCAGAAGCAGATGCGGTCCAGCACGACGAGACTTTTCATCTAAAACTAATCTCGTAGATACGAGATGATAGAAATAGCCGTGGGGAAATGTTAGGGGCAAAAAAAAAAAAAAAGAGTATTGGCGACTAGCTATGGTGATGGGAAATATTAATCCTGCTCCTTTAACCAAGATCGCCTTGATTAAAGAAAGGACGTTCTGACCTGGCTGGGAGTTGTGTGCCCTGGGGACCTGGGAGTCAACCTTGGGCCTGGGGGGGAATCCACCCTTGGAATGCGGTTCATTCCATTCGAGAGCTGCCTGTTATCAGGGAAAGAGGAACAACCTTGTTGCCCAAACAAGGGGGTCCCACCCCAGCCTCCTACTTCCCCAGGCCTGTCACGCCTGCTTTCCTATGTGATCTCTGTCCTACCCTATATATATGAGCAGCTGGCTTCTGGGGGGGCTGCAGAGCAGATTTCTGTGGCTGACCTGCTGCTTGGAATAAATGCTCAGATAGGACTCAAAAATAAAAACACGGTGCTGTACCTTTAAATTCTGAAAGTGAACTTGGCTCAGGAAGGCCAGCAGTCAAGGTCCAGCCCCTAGAAGAGAGAAGAGCTACAGATTCTCCATCCTCGGTCTTTGCAAGGCGACGGCTGTGCCAGCCGGCTCGGCAGGCTCCTGGCAGCATGGCAGTGCCGCTCCGGGCCCTCCTGCTGGTCCTCTCGCTGGGCCTGGCCCAGCCGGCCTCTGCCCCCCGGAAGCTGCTGGTGTTCCTGCTGGATGGTTTCCGCTCCGACTACATCAGCAACGAGGCCCTGGAGTCCCTGCCTGGTTTGAAAGAGATTGTGAGCCGGGGGGTGAAAGCGGACTACTTGACCCCAGACTTCCCCACGCTCTCTTATCCCAACTACTACACCCTGATGACCGGTGAGTACCTGCTGCTCCTCTCCTGGGTGGGGAGGAGGGTGCTGGCGTCCATCAGGGGTCCGTTAGCGCCTGGCCTCGGACTCTGATGTCAATGTTCAGGTTCCCCTAGTCCCTTGGGACCCCAGAGACAGACAGGAAGTCTGTGTTCTCGGCCGAGGTGGTTGTTTTCATGGTTGTGTTGTTCTCCGGAAGTTCTCCCCACGACCTGCTTTGAATTCTCAGAGAGCGGAGAAAAGAGAGCTGTGTGGATGGATGATTTACAAAGGGGGTTATTTGGTTTACAGCTCAAAATTCTAGCTAACTCCATGTTTTCCAAGTTCAAGTTTAAAGAGTCCATTGGTCCTCACGTGTCTGTACCAAATTCCTCCCGTCCCCTCGCTCTGCAGTCATCTGTCATCCGGGAGGCATTCGGCTTGTTTATCCGTGTGCTGGGCTGTGCAAGTTCCACGTGCATTCCTGGATCGCTCGGGGGAGGGGGGGGGGGGGGGGGTGGCTCCGGCAGATCGAGAAGTGTCACTCAGCAATGCCACTTGGCCCTTGTTTGGCCTTTTGGGGGCAGGTGAACTAGCACAGAGAAGAAAAAATCTGTGGTGGGCTTCAGATTCCCATTTTTAACTTGTAGCATCTGTTATGAAAACAAAGCAGAACAAGCCTGGCCGGCAGGGCTCAGTGGTTGAGTGTCGACCTGTGAACACAGGAGGTCACCGTTCAATTCCCGGTCAGGGCACGTGCCTGGGTTGCGGGCTCGGTCCCCATCATCCTTGATGTTTCTCTCTCTCTCTTCCTCTCCCTTCTTCTCTGAAATCAAAAATAGAACAAAAACGCCAGCGAACCCAGACTGCGCCCGGGTTCGAGGACGCTGGGCTGGGCCCGAGGGGGACCTGCGTTGGGGATTGCGGAGTGTCAGTGTGACTCCATGACCTCGCCCCCTCTGCAGAGCGGGGACTTTCTGCGCTCGCAGTCGGGTTCCTGGCTTCCGGTTGGCTTTCCAGTAACCTTTGTGGGGGCCAGGGAGGCGCTCTCGGAAAGAATTTAGCAGACCGTCAGGGGGGCTGTTAAGAACGCACTGTTATTGCTGGGATGGCTGACCTCGGCCATGTGCTCTGAGCACAGGGAACACTGTCAGTTATGTGCGTGGGAAGGGGATGAGAACTCCACATCTCATCATGGATCCCCACAGCATAGCACAGCCATAGGAGTCTGCAAAGACAATTGACGTATCCGACTTCACGTGTGGGTCCTCTATGCACAGGCACATAAAAATGCCGTAAAGTTAAAGGGGAAAGAGACGTTGGAGAACTGGAAATGAAGGCAGAGAGAGGGGGAAAAATCCAGGCTGTGCCTAAGCGAACAATGCATTTGTTGATTTCAAAACATTTCCCCAGCAGACAAACAGCAGCCTCTCTGCGATGAGGAGGGGGGACAGAGCCCGCTGGTCCCCGCTGGGCGCGCGACCCCCCTCGTCGGGAAGCCGTGTGCAGGCCGCGGGTCACACATAGATGCCATTGTGTGTCGCAGCCCGACTGCAGCTCTGTCCCGGGAGGTTCACACACGCAGACCACCCCCTCCAGCTGCTTTCGGAGCCTCGCGGGGAGGCCCCATTCATAGCTGCCACGTGCAGCTCCCCAGATCTCCGTGCAGAACGAACAAAATCCATTTCAGAAAGTCAGGCTCCAGGGAGTAAAAGGGGCCATTGCCATCTGCACAGAGGGACCAGGCCAGTGGCACGGGCTTTTGTCTGTGGGACCCCCATTCCTGACATTCGCACCAGGAGTGATCTGCACCGAGCCCCACCATGCAGAGCACGCCTCAGGCTCAGGGGTGGCTCTTGTCACGCGTCCTTTCCATGGTGGACTGTGCAGCGCCCCAAAGTGCTTGACAAAGATCTCATCTTCAATCTCCTCCTCCTCCTCCTCCTTCCTCCT